ATACAAGGGTTGTATGAAGGGGATGTCACGTCGGGAGAAAATTGGCAGAGAAGTTGATTGAAGGCGTTAAAAAAATCAACAAAACCGACACTCTAAAAATACAAATGGATTCAAGATTTATTGAATTAAAAAATTTGGGAAAATGGAAGGAAGAAAACGTTGAAGTAATCGGGACTGTAAGAAAAACTAAAGAATTGCCGCTTGGATGGGACCAAAAAAACACCGACAACGAAATAAAATTAAATGTATTGAAAAAAGAAAAAAAGAGGCAGAGGAAGCTAAAAATATCGGGGAAAAAAGAAAACAAAAATCACTAAAATGAAAATTGAAAAATATAAAAAAGAAACAGAAGAAGACGCAAAAAAACGGGAAAACGCAATTAATGAGCTTGAAGAAATCACAAAAAAAGAAAAGGATGAAAATCCTCTTTTCAATAAATTTTGGGAATGTGGTCCAATATTATTGAACACTTTCAATCCAAATAAAACCAAAAGTGTTTCTATCGCTACAACATTCCTTGAAAATGTGGGTATTTGGGAAGAGTCAAAAAATAAGAAAAAAACAAACGTCAATAACGTCTACAATAAAATGAAGTTTCCCGTTGATATTTTTTATTTTCTTTGTGCTGAATTCCCAATACCTTTCAGATCTTTTCGGTGTACATTTGTTCTGTTCAAAAACATTTTGGAAATGACAATGACAAATACATTTGTTATCAGCAGGTGTTTTGATGATAAACTTGACCACGGAAAATTTTTGAGAAATTTAGCAAAAGAGCTTTGTGTGGAATACGTCAAGGAAAATTGCGGGAAAAGATCCAAACCTGAGCTTATTCAAATTATTTCCAATTGGCAAAAATTCAAAATGGATGTGTGGAAACAAGTTGATGAAATTTATAGAAAAATATGGTTTTGGATGAAGAATGTGCAAATGAATTGTGTTTCACGTGTTGTTGTGAAAGGAAGACAATGATGGAAATAGAAAATGATCAACAAGAAATTGAAAAAGATAAAAAGCGGGGAGGCAGAGGGAAAGGGAAATAAGGAAGTCTACAAAAGCTGAAAAGAACCAAAAAAATGTGTTATATTTGTAAACGCCCAAGTTGCAAGAGTCATCTTACTTCGTTGTGCAGTTGTTGCTTGGGGCAGAGTACTTTTACACGATAATTCGAAAAGCCTCAAGTTGTGGAAATTGATAAGAAAAATGAACGAACCCTCCTGCAACGTGACTAAGAAGACAAAGTGAATAAAAATAAATGATTTTTGATCAAATATTTTTATATTTGTTGTTTTGTTTTGTATGAAAGAATTCCCTTATGCATTTGACAATATTATGTATAAATAGATTTATTTACTATTATTATATGATTATTTTGTTTTGAGTATAATTTTGTTTTATGCAAGACTTTTGTTGTTATGTTTTAATTTAAATAAACTATTATATAGTTTAATAATTAGTAACAAAAAACTTCACAATTTTTTTTAGTTTTTTTAATTAAAATAGTTTTTATTAACTAATATTTATAAATATAAGTTTTAAATATAAAAAGTTTGATAATAATAAAATAAAGTTATCATACTGTTATTATCAACCAATAATGTTCTATTTTTGTTTTTTATTTTAAATTTGTTTTTAGTTCCATATATTTTTGTATGAATAATAATGGCAAGAGATATAAACACCAGATACTTATGCTACAAAAGTGACATAAGAAGTTGTATAAAATCGTGTTTAATGGTGTTTACTACTTTGCTTCAAAACCAAAAGATGAAAACATGGAAAATGTTTCAGATGGGCTTCATAGTAGTCACTAAGAAAATTCGGTCAAGAAATATCAAGGAAATTTACTACTCAAAATACTGCATAAATTTATTATATTTTTTACTCTGGTAATTCGTGATTTTTTATGAAAATATTTATCGGCTTGGAAATAATGGTTTCGGGTTTTTTGGGACTTCGATTGTGGATTTCCCGAAATTTTATAAAAATTATATCTTCGATATAATATCTTATTTAAATGAGTTCTTATTTGTTAGTTGGTTTGAGTAATATCCTAATGCAGAAAAATGTTAAGAAAAAATAAAACAGGCATGACAGTCTTATTTAAAAGACCAAACGACAAAAAAAGAAAAAAATAACACTGCCTCATTAAAAAATAACAGGGAAACAAGGAAACGTGTTAAAAAATGGAAGTGGTTTTTAATCCCTGTATGTAAAAACAACAAAAATATATTAAAAAAATAAAATTTAAAAATTTTATAATTCGCTATTTTAATATTTGGAGTGACATAAAGTAACAAATAATCAATTATGACAAATTATTGCAAAATTACAACTTTTTTCTTGATAATATTTTTTAATTATAATTAATAATTAATCAACTATTCAAAGAGAAATATGGCAAACAACAAATTATATTTTAATAGATTACATCATTATTTTATCATTATTAAACAAATTTCAATATTTTATAATATTATTACTAATTGTTTATATCTTTGTTTTGTATTATATAAATATGATATTAATAAACTATTTGATTTGTATATTAAACATTTTAATATATATTTAATTGTAGAAAAAATTCATTACAAACAAGTGCAACATAAACTTTTCTTTGTTTTTAATTCACAACAAAGGTGAAACTCTGTTTTTCAACAATAACAATAACAATAACAATAAGAAAAATTAAATTAGGTTAAAAATCGATATAAAATATGACTCAAAATTTAAATGATATGTTCAACTGCTTGTTTAAATAAAAATAATACAAATCCAAATTTACAAATGTCAAACAGAACAAATTAAACAGTAATGTGTATTGATTTTATATGGCACGGATGTTAAACACAACTTAAATAAAACAAAAATAAATAG